TATATTAAATCGATATTAAGATTTTTGATATCTGTTATTAATTTATTATATTTGTTTGACATGAATCATACAACGCGTAAGGTCGGTATACTATAAAGAATCCTAACGTAAATATTATAACTTATTTGACACTGATGAATTTGAAATAGTCCACTTGAAATTTTTCAATTAAAATATTTCCAAATTTCAAATTTCTTTCAAAAAAATATTCCATTAAACTTATGAAAAATATTTTTCTTTTTCTTTTAAACATAAAAAAGAGGTTTTCGTGATTTTTGATTACCTACATACTTAAAATATGGATAGTGAATGACACAACCACACAACCTAGGTTTCCGAATTATTACTATGTTCACAGTTATAAATTAGGTACATAGACGTCATTATATTAGGTATAATGTATATCGACTAATTTAGCACTTATCAATTGGTCTTTATCGGCTATTATTTATTAATTATTATTTGTTTGTATTCGATACAACAAACCAACTTTTAAAAATTTCCCCTTTCTGTAAATTTATATAACCACAAACTTTCTTTTATTAACGAACTTTTAAACTCGTAAACTATTAAAATACATTTCATGACATTTAAAATACCCTATATAACTGCAGGCACAGTAATTCAATTAATCTGGTTAGCAAAGTCGCTATAGGTATATATATATAATAGCGTCACGTGGTTTTMTCTATTATACTCGATTTTAAGACGATTTCTGCAAGTAAAGTAAAAATAATTAAATAGTTTACCATATTATAATTAAATACGGTCTGTTATATTATATTRATTTGTAACCACTAGGGACAGTATATTATTATAATGTTATTCACGTCATGATATACACAAAACTATAATCTATATGAATGATGCCTTCTCAACGCGATATAGTTGAATTTTCATATGACTTATTAGACGTCGTTCATTTATCAATGTTTCCAACAAAGACGCTATATATATAGTGTTATTAAATCTTTTGCATATTATGCAGGGTAATGAGGTATTTTATAGTTTGAAACAAAATTGCGATCGTTTCAGGCCGACAACGGATGCGGTTTTCCACCGCAAAAACGAATTTACGTGAAAAATTAAACGTCAAGTCCGCTCGCGCGTGTGCCTGAATAATAATAATAACAGGCAAATCATCATAATATCTATAAACCATATAACTATTACCTATACAATATAATATAATATAATATGAATAAGCGAATTTATGATATTTCTGTTTATATATATATATATGGATGTATGTATATGTGCTACAGCTGCACGCTCGCATAGAAATATTATGATTATTATTGTCAGTCGCATAATATTATATGTATGKATACGTATATAGACGCGTCATCTAACATTCGGAGAAGTAGGTACAAATTGCGTTTTCAAGGCCTAAACCCGTTCTTTTTGAAGTCATCGCTAAATAAATAACAATATATTATACATTATATTATATTATAAATAATAAACACTGAAGCTGAGAGTTAGAAATGAAATATAATATAGTATTGTTTGACGCRGAGTATGAATAATCGTATATTGAACGGGGTCTGAAAAAATATTTTATACATTCATACTATGCAGTATAACGCGAAGTGATCCTGCATTCGACTGACAACACTAATATAGTATACCTAAAAAATGTACTAATAAAAAAATATTTTCAAAGTACCTAAATTTTTRTAGATTTAAGTGCTTATACAACACTATATTCATTTCAACAAATAAACATGATTTTTAATCAGTATTCTTTAAAAAAATGTTTAAAATAATACCTATATTTTTATTTCGCTATCGAAARCGACGAAAGCATATAAATATGGTTATAATTTAATATTCAGACAGAGACAGTGATGGAATAGTGGACAAAATAATAATATACTTTTGGCTAGAAGCATATMTAGCTATATTRTCATTTAATTYCACCGATGATAATACTACTGTAACATGTACCTTTTGTATATGTATTTATCTTCGAAATGAAGAATATTATTGTAATAATATTAACAAAATATAAAAAAGAAACGATTTAGATTTCCTAATATCTTATAATATAGTTAAAATCTGTGTTTAATATTAACATTTATTCATTAATAACATTATGAAAATATATCTAATTCTAATATTATGAAATTTAATGTAATATTGACTGTCATAAAAAAAACTACTGCAGACGTCTGATAAACAATTACCTACAGTTTTTYGTAATAATCATGTAAAACAAAAACAATATATTATAAAATATATTTAATTATTATTCAAACCATAAACTTTTTTCTTTTTAACACAAACATTGACTTGGAAATAATTCACCACTTAAAATCAGTATTATGGTGGTATCATATTATCGTGTCTATATACGTTATACAAATYCATTTTTTCATGTATTCATGGATTCGACATAGATCATACAATCATTTCGGATATTGATTATTCACGAACCACGAAATATTGTCACAATATATTATTATGACGTACTGCAGCTAACGCATCTGCAGCAGCAGCAGCAGTTATATGGACTGCGTATATTTTCGTGGGTTTTCTACAACGGCTAAGGCCTATAAAATAATAGTTTTTACGGTAATAAACACTAAACGCGTACTTAAACGTTAAACGGTAAGAAAAAAAAAGTTTTGAAAAAAAAAATCGTTTTCCCACAACACAATATCATTATCATATAATATTACGACGGCCGCCGTCAACGCGGCATGGACGCAAATCCGTTATGGTGCGCGCGAGTTAATTTATTTAAGAGTCTGCTGTGTAAATACATATAATAATATAATATAATATATAGGAATAGTGTTAACACACTGTTAGCCGGCGAGTGAGTATATTATATATTATGTTATTTAATAATATTGTGTTTCACACGACGGTGGAAATGTATAGAATATATACCACACGAACGGACCTCGTATGTGTGTATATAGCGCCGCGTGTACATCTTTGTACCTATTATAATATACAGAATGTGACAGGAAGACCTGACTAATTTAATTACTTTTGTTKTAACCAATTTCAGGATTTTAATTTTTTTTTATCCATATTATGTATCATTTATTGACTCTTGCGTTTCACGTAAATATAACATATTATATTGTTAACTACTGAACATAAAAAATTCAAATCTGACTAACATTTTTTTTGAAAAATTCAAAATTGCCAATCGTGAAATATATGGTATTTAGAAAAATGTTTACTGTTAAAATATTTATTTAAGCTAAGAATTTTCAATTTTTAAAAAAAGGTAAATGATATTGATATATGGTTATATGTGTAGCGCAAGAGTCAATAAATTATGTTCAAAAATAAAAATATACAAATAGTAAATAATAAATATTGATAAGAACCAAAGTTATTAGACTTGACAAATGTCTTMCTGTTTCAATCTGTATACGTATTATTATGATATGTTCATAATAYGTTACAACTTATATTTTATTACACGATCTACTTGAATGATAAATCATATGTTTTTTTAAATAATATATTATTTATAAAATTACAAAAAAAGTATCGAGAATAACCGTGTGTGAAATACGTGAAATCAAACAATAGCGGGAACGGAGGGACAATAAAATATAATTAAGAGATAATCGCGGAGGTTTTTTCGATGGTCATCAATTTTCAATTTTGTTTTATTATTACGTAAAGATTATCGAATCCACATTTATACAAAATCTACTATTTTTAACTTAAGTCATTTTGATTGACATACAATAATAATAATAAATATTATATAGCATATTAATAGGTACCTATTATTAAATGAAAATTAGTATAATTTCTAATAAAACTGTATGATGTTATAGGTAAATGATAATCTTTATTTTATACTTTATGAATATTATAAATAATAATATGGTTGTCAACTTTGTGAAAAATAATAAAATAGTTGATTCTGCAAATATGCTAATTTAATACATTTTGAACGATTTATTGTTTTGATACGATGACAATAATTTTACATCGTGGTACGTTCATGCAAATGAGGAGAAGAACAAAATCGTCGTGAACGATAGGGAGTCGAACTCGTTGGCATCGAAACAAATACGCTGTAATACATCGTACTGCCGTGTAGCCTGTAGGCGATGAGCGAATCGTTCAATTTCAATCGTTTTGCAGGCTCTCGACCCACCGGATTGTCACGTCCTTCTCGAATAAAGTCAACCCAAGTTCTCGATGCTTTGATTTTTTTTTTTTCATATCGAACATTATAATTAAGTCCGTTCACAACTGCAGATCGTCGTCCGACGTATAATCTATAAACTACAAGTTTTGGCAAGCGCGTGCGCGTCGCGATGGCGCACAGTATCGTAATAATAATATTACTGGTACGTCTATGACTATAACACCATATTATATTATATGACTGCATCGCCGGAAATGCAACTAGCGCGCACACACAACGACCGTCGGTGCAGTCGCCGCCGAATCAATACGATGCACCGCCGCGTCGCGTACTCTATATAATAACGTTATGTGATGAGAATGCGTTCGCTATCAGGTGCACGCTATATGTGTATACGGACCGTTGATCGCGGCTGCAGCGTCGTGTACCGTCAAGCAGACGAGAGAGCGCGTGGCGGTGAGGGGTTGGGTTGACGTGTGAGGGGAGGAGCGTCGAAAAACGGCACCTCTCGTTCCGCCGCCGCGGCCGTAAGCGTATACGATATTGCGCAAGCCCCGGCGGCCACCCGTTTGCTACTATATCACTACCGCCGCACGTCTACCGGCCCATCGCCGAAAGACGGACGGACGGGCGGACAACGCGCGTTCACCGCCACCGCCACCGCCGATCTTGAACTTGACTATACTTGACAGAAAACCGTCGGCGGAAAGTGTCTCTCCAGCGGGGCGCGCGACGTTTCCCCCACCGCGGGCGCGCCGGGCGGTGCGCTCGTACACGCGTCCACCACCGCGGCGGTAGGGGAAGAGGCGACGCGCGAAGAACTGCTCCAAGGCGGCGGCCCATCATCATCATCGTCGTCGTCGTCTTCACCGTCGTCGTAGTGGTCTAGTCCTCACCGTCAGTGGTCGTCGGTTCGTTGTCCCGTAACGCCGCCGCTTACTGCCGGCTGATCACTGTGGTCTCAACACGCGCGCCGTACGCACACACGATCGTAACAATAATAATAATATATTATTGTCATTTTTCGCGACCAGATAATTACGTTGCTGTTATTATTGTTATTGCTGTTGATGTGGTCGTCATCGTTTCGATAACAAAATATCGCAACAAACTGTACAATATTATTGTCGCTGCGACACGAGCAGCCGCCGTCAATTCGCGGCACTCAATCGCTGCACGGTTTGGGATGTGTCATAATTGACTGTCGCAGACCATCATCGTCGTCCTATATTAATTGTACAATCGAGAAATCAATTTTATTACATACGTTTCAATCGCCGGAAAATCGGAAACGGCTGTGAAAAATCGTTTTGTGGAAGGTCAGTAAACGAATATTTGATTTGGAACACTAAGTTCTTGCTTACCAATACCAATACTGTATTTATAACTGTTCGACAAAATCYGTCCTGGTACTTTGTGCGAACGTTTTTCTGAGTTTCCTCCAGATGAAATTCTATGCGTAAACATTAATATTAGGTACAAACGCTATTTTACTCCAATGCGGAGAAATAATTTTTATTCCTTCACAGGATAAAAGAATTATTCTTA